TGAAATCTGTGTGGATGAGACAGTGTGTTTACATGCACACACACACACACACACACAAACACACACACACACACACACACTATATTCACACACTGCCACACTGAAGCTATGTCAGAGCATGTCGCCAAGGTTAAGTAGAAAACTGCATCACATGGGCCTCTACAGCACTCCAAAGTGAAGCGATGAGCTTGGTGTCTTGGAAACAGCATAGTGGACAAGTATGTTCTGAATCCTCTATGTAGAGATTATATCTGTTTTGTCCCTTATTTATGTCATTTACAGGGCAGAATGTTCTTTCATGAGCTCTGTTTGACATCATACAGGTTGAGTGGGGAAAGGAGTGGGCGATATGGATAAAATCACAGTATATGCAATATACTTTTTTATGGTAAATCGCAGTATTGATTCATTTGAGAAAGGATTTATATGTGTAGTAATTACGTGGGAATTTGTGTTTGTAATTAATCTGATGAATTTAATACCTGAACAGTCAAGGTACTTCATCATTGATTAATGGTTTGTGTCAAATAATGTCATTTAATATACATATCGCAATGCAGGAATGCTGAGCCAACTTGTTAAGATTGTTGCTCATCAGTTGCCAAAAATGTCGCTGCACACTCCACTGTCATCTCACGTCAGCTTTTGTTAGGCAGAAATGCATTTCGGTCTATGTGATTTTTTGTGCGATGTCGGTTGGTTTTGGGTGCTCAACTGAACCGCTTGCTTTGCTTGACTGACAGAGCTGATTCTGCAGGCACAAAGGCATGTCCACACACACAAACACACAGAGAGAATTCTGTGCAGCAGTACAGAGCAAACATTTCTGGATGAAAAGCTTGCACATCTCTTCTCTCTTCAAAGCTTTGCAGATTGTGTTGATGGATGAAGAGCTCAGAGTGTAAAATGCTCTCTAATCTGCCCTCGCTCTCCGCCTTGCTCCTGGTTACCACTCTCCCTCCTTTTCTCCACTATTCTCTCCTTCCATGCCACTGCTTTTTTCTTCCCTCTCCTTGCATGTTTTTGCTTACTGCAATGCTTTTTCCTTTTTGAGTCAAACTGCTTTACTTTCAAATGCAGCTCAGCTTGTTTTAGAAAAGACATTTAGTCGCTTTTAATCCACAGTGACACAGGTGGCCAGGAACACAGAATGACCCTTTAGCAGGGAAAGCAGACAAAAATAGGAGCAAATGGCGGAAAAAGGCAAAGTGGGTGATTTTTTGAGACATGTTAATATCCAAAATGCATTATTACCTAAAAAGGATGTAAGGATGTAAAATACAGTTATAATGTGAGGAAAGTAGGGCATAAGAGCATACATATGATGGTTTCTCCCGAGAGCTCCCTCCTCCCTCTCTTCATCCCTCTCTATTTCTCAAAGAATCCTCCCTTTAGACCAGGTTCATGTGTCATCGTTTCACATGTCCCAGCCCCCTCCTCCCTCTTACCTCCCTCCTACTCTTGTTCTGTCCCTCGCCGCCTGCCTTTTACCCTCCTTCCTCCCTCTCTTTCTCCGTCTTCCTGATTACTCCCAGCAGACCTGAGATACAGCATATTCCCTGTAGCTGTTTTGTTCCATTAACAAACCGAAGAGGGTATGTTTCCCCCCTCATTAAATAACTAAAATAAAGCCAGGCTGCTAGCTCCTGAATTTCGCTGTATGTCCGTCTCAGTGAGTCATATATAATGTTTGCAAAACCTTTCCTGTATCACATAGAGAATGTGTGAATGTATAAGAGTAAATTAAAGCCAAATTAATACGTATGTTGATGAATTAGTCACTGGTGACAGTTGGTTTAAATTTTTCTTTAAAAATAGGTCAGTGTTAGTAGCACAAGCTTGCCCATACCGCACACTCCATCATCTAATGTTTATTACAGTTATACTGTTTATTACAATATCATTTATTAGGCTATTGTGATTTTTTTAAAGGCTCAGGCTCCATTTTTATATTTTTAAAATATTTTTCTCATCTCAGCTTTTTTGATTTAAAAATAAAATGTTTATAGTTTTTACTGATACTATTACATTTTTTTGTGATGTTTACTATTTATAATTTACTGTTATACTGTTAATATAAAAAATAAACACTCTCAGAGTTATTGTTTTTTTTACAAGTTTATTTTTTACCTGTAAAATACCCTGTATATTTTGATCACAATAATCAATCAATATACAACAAATTCACTAGCAACATATTCAATTAGTTTTTTTTTCAATATTTATTCAACCATTTTTCCCTGACAAAAGTGTCTTTTAGCCCAAACTACTGTATATAGGACCAACATCGTGGTGTCACAATCCTGTGCATTGTACTGCCTCCATCCACCCTGAGCTCTGTGTGGTATGAGATCGTACAGTCATGTAGTTTATTAATTACCAATTTTCTTTTCCCAACGATGTTGTGGTGGTGAATCCAAAGTTTTTTTGGAGTAAATGAAGCACTTCTTTTATCTACCGCACTAGAGTGCTGCTAGCATCACTTTATCAGAACCGGATAGTATTTCTTTATTGAAGGAAGAGCAAAGAACGTCACTGAAGACTTTTCTTGATGGAAAAGATGTTTTCGCTATACTCCCAACTGGCTCCGGTAAGAATATGACTAAATTTGACTACGTTTGTTTCATCCAATCAAGTACTTTTTGGAAAGGGCCTTTGGAAGTGGCTGCCCCCCCAAACAAACCATCTGGCGAGCTCAGGTTAGGTGGGTGTACAAAGTACTTTGACACTAGAGACTGGAGTTTTCATCCCAAGTCTTGTTTGTGGCTGGGTTTAGTGGGATATACTGTAAAGGTAGGTTTTTAGAGGTTTTCTTTCTTGTTATGTGTTCTGTCAAAAAGCAAAAAAAAAAAATGCTTTTATAAGATTAAAATATCTAAAGGGGTTAGTCTCAAAAACTCAATATTGGTCGGGATCTAATCAGAAGGATAAAACTGAGGATAGAGGAAAGGTGTTGTTTGTGGTATTCTGATTTAAATTCAGCTCATGGCCTTCGTTGCAAAAGATCTATTCTCTTTCTTTTT